CGCAGCTAACAGGACCACGCAGCTAACAGGACCACGCAGCTAACAGGCCCATGCAGCTAAGAGAACATCACTGCTAACAGAACCATGCTGCTAACTGTTTTTATAACTTCTTTATTTTAATTGCTTTTTATTATTGTTGTCGTCTAAAACAGGTCCCTCTTGGAAATGAGTCCTCGTGACTCGATGAGACTAACCTGGATAGATAAGTTAAATACATGTCACATTAAACACACACAGGTGAACCTGTTGCTGTCCTGTTTGCTGATCACTGACTGTGCATACAACGTGAACAATTAGCATCGACTTGTACATTTTAGGGTTCACGATATACCCAGCGTGAACGGATGCATCAGTGAGGCCCACCAGCTGTCAACTCAAGCAAAACCAGTTTGTAACATCAGAGCTGAACAGACCCTGAGCGATGCAGTGGTCGTACCTGGAGGTACTGGAGCTGCTGCTGCTGCTGCACTGCTTGTTGTTGATGTAGCTGCTGCAGGCGCAGGTCGCCCGGCTGCAGCTGCTGCAGGACGCGGTGCTGCTGACTGCCAGGTTGGGCCTGCATGGACGGCTGTCCCGAGCCGGGAGTGGGAGCTGAGTGGACACAAGAAGAAAAGTGCTTTCAACACACAATAACTACACAGTGTCCATTTTAAATTTCCCAGCATGATCAGACTGATCTGATGTTAAAACATCAATAAACTTATTGTGATTTATTGTCTAGAGCTGCTGTTGTAACATCTGATCCCTAATGTGAAGGGTTCAAATCTGGAAATGGACTCAGCTGAAGAATCTTCCACTTCTTGTCCCCGATGAACGGCTTTTGTTTTGGATCATTATCTTGCTGCAGAGTGAAGGATCACTCCGTCAGTGTGGTTGCATCCTTCTTACGGTTTGTGCAGACAGAAGAACGCTCTTTAGTCTTTCCAGTTTGGTAAAGGTTCATTTTTGTCTCGGTCCATAAAACTTTGCCCCAGAAGTCTTGAAGCTCGTCTTGTTAATGAGAGGTTTACATCTCCGTACGGTTGTTGAAGTCTTCAGAGAACATCAGATGGTGGTAGCTTCACTCCTGATTGTTCCTGATGTCACAAAGTGTCACCTTAGGGTTTTACTTCAAAGCTCTCCGTGTTGCTGAAATCAGCTGTTCATGCTTTTCTGGGTTTTCTTGTTCAAAGTCTGTTTCCGAGTCCACCGGTGGTTTCTCCTTCAGGACATTTCAAATGACTGGACTGGCTGTGGCTGGTGCTTCTTGGATGCTCCACGCTGTCCCCAAGATTCAAGTCCAAGTATCGTTATTATCCCCGAGGGGCAATTAGTTTCAGTCAGTAGAGATAAAACCTCCATATACACAAAACCTTTGTTACTGTAAAAGTTGTAAACGACTAAAGATTTTGCTGGACAGCCTGTAAATTGTTTGTATGTCCACCCCTGGTGTGTACATGAACTCCGGTGTCACCAACCTTTCTGACCGTTGCTGACGGGGGCTGAAGGCACGGCCATTTTGGCAGGGGTGACGGTGTTGGTAAAAGGCAGGACGTTGCTGTTTGCAGCCTTCGGCCTCTGTCTGGGAGCTATCGACGTCTCAGTGGGGCCCACAGATTCTGTTATTCTGTTGAAATGAAGAACAAACGTTTCAGAAGCAACAATTCACCGTCTGGTCACTCACATCCTGATGAGCTGCTGTAATTTATACCATTAACCCTCAGAAGGTTCATTAACTTTAAGACAAGTGCTTAAATAATAATAATAATGTCATCACTGTAAGTTTCCATAAAATGGCGAAATTAGTCTCTGCATTTAACCCATCCACCACCAGGTGGTGCAGTGGGCAGCTATTGAAAGCTGCTTGGGGGCATTTACTTAACTGCTTGATTTTTTTATTTGTCTACAATAAACTAGTCAATCTTTTTAACCATTTTATGGCAATTTTGAGCAAAGAGGGTAAAAAACATATATAAATTTCCTCCCTTAATATGTACAAATTTTTTTTTTATTATTCCAGATGTGATTTTTTTTTAAATTCCAGATGTACTTCACGTGTTGTACATGACTGTCAGCTACCACCACACCAAATTTCAGCTCAACATCTTTTAAAATAGCGAGTTATCCAAGGCAGCCATCTTGGATATTTAATTTGCATCAGGAATGTATAACAACTCGCTCTCAGCTACAAACATTAAATTTCAGCTCCGTATCTCAAAGAATGACCGAGTTATAGTCGATTTTGAGTTTTCTGAGGTAGCTGTGGCAGCCATCTTGAACCAAAATGGCTCCAAATAATGTGTGTTTTGATCAGGGACCTATCTAAGTCATGTGACCTCACTGTGGCAGTTAGAAGCTGTTAAGAGTTCTGTCAGTGTTTTCAATTACAAAAATGGCGTCTTTGTTTGCCGATTACATCACCACAGTAACTCAAAAGGCCAATAAAAGTAACGGCACGCATCACGGTGCCCAGCCGGTCGTTTTGATACATTTGCGCGGGTACACGTTGAGGTTTGGGCCGCGTAAGACTCGAGAAGTTTCCTGATCCTGCAGGAACAGTACCTGGCTTTTGTCATACTTTTCTTAGCAGCGACGTCACTGGCTGTCAGAGGTTCAGGAAGAGACGTAGGTATGGGAGAGTTCTGGAAAAATAAAGAAATTAAAGAGGACACAAAAATCAGCAACCGCACAAAGAGAACAACCCTGGACTGATTTACATCGACAGCGACTTACAAAGAGGTTTGGTATCGGACACTCTTTTCCAGCTAATTTAAAGGCAAAGTAAGACACTTGGTAAATGTCTGGTCTTTTCTCCTGGTCCGGCTCGAGCATATATCCTGAAAGACACAAAGACCCCGTTTAATTCACCTGCAGAATCAGAGGATCCGATTCAACAACACGCTGGTGTGCATGTCCTCAGTTTGGCCACTGGAGGAGGCTGTTGGTCAAATGTTCCAATAAGGAGCAGCTCCTCTGCAAGTTCCGGTTTAAGGAAGTGAAATCATTTGGAAGCACAAAAACTGACAGCCCTCGACTGGTTTGAACAGGCTCAAGTTGTGCAAATGCAAAAAAAAAAAAAAAAAGTTCGTATCTGTATCTGTTCCAGGTTACGTTCAAGATAATGAGAAACTGTTGAACTGAATGTGCTTTTATCTCGTTGGACCGCCATGTGCCACACGTTAAAAGTAATCTTTCATAAAGATAAGTTGCAGTAAAACACATTAGACTAGCAAACTGTTTATAAAGGAGAAGCATATATATATATATATATATATATATATATATATTGGCTGAATTAACACATTCCAGTGGGAACTCACTGATTAAGCAGTGCAACTTGAAGGAGAACTTGGAGTTGTCTGGAACAATAAAGGTGCCGTCACATATGGCGACTTGACTCTCCCCGAACGGAAGAGTGAAGAAACACAGCTTGTACAACAAGCATCCCAGCGCCTGTGGACAAAACACAAACTCCAGTTAGAGAAGAGAAATAACGGTAAACAGCGTTTCGTGTTTTAGTCACGTGACGGGAACTCTTCAGTGCTGGTTCCTGAACGATCCACACGTCGTTGCACACACTTCAGTCCTCGGTCACATTTAGCCTCATTTTACTCATTCAGACCCAAAGTGTTGTGGAAATGTGTGTTGGAGAACTCCCGACTCGATGGTTTTATAAAACTTACCACGGTAATGAACAAGAAACGATCACAATTTAGATTTTATTTTTTTTAAACACTGTTAGGAGTTCTCATGAAGCAGAACTACACACGTGATGTTTAGCTCCTTCCACCCTGTGATTATTCCAGCGCTTTCTTAACTTTTCAGTCAACAGCGGGAGACAAAAAAAAATAAATGACTCAAACCACTTTTGAGCTTCAGGCTCCGCCCCTGGATTCACACACCAACTCAGTCCTGTGCCTACCTGTGACAGGTCAGAGGTGTAAAACCACCACACCTGTCGGGAATCGTTTCACATCAGCAGGTTGGAAAGTTCAACTGTTTACAATCTCTTTATTTATTTATCTTTGAAATCAACTGTGTCCTATAGAGAAGTACTTTGAATAAAATATAGAAACATGTAGGTAATATTTAAATTCATTAAAACTGTAATATGAAAGGTTTTAGGCATAATTACTTTAGAAAGTGTAAGAAGAGGAGCTGCAATATACAAGCTAGGAGTTATTAGGAGATATATATATTTTTTTCTCCCCTTTGAGCAGCAACAATTTAACACTTAAATTATAAATGATAAAAGCCAAAATGCTCAACTCGTCTGAAAACCGTCTGCAGATGGGGAGTGTTAAAATAAAGATTTTTATGTGAAATGTGTTTTGTCTTTTACTAGCAAAGGTTTTGATGCATTTGGTGTTGAAGCTTTAATCTTTTACATCATCATCTCTGCTAGAGCCCGAATGATGTATCGGCATGGTCAATATTTTTGGTCGATGTAGTCGTTTGGGGACATATTATCTTGATAACTGGCCCATTACGCGCCGATATAAACACTTTAATTTTTACCCCTAAAATGCTGCGAACGAGCCGTGTCCTTACTTGCAAATGGTGTAATTGTACAAAGTGTCCAGCAGAGGGTGCATGCGGACTACTTTCAAGTCACGGTCATGCTGCACGCTTCAAAACAGCCAAAGCAGCGAGCAACTAAACACTGCGTAGCTTATTTTGCTGAACAGAACATAGTGAGTTTATTGTAACTCATCTGTAAAATAAATCAATAATTAATTCCCTTCAATCCTCCAACCTGCTTGCCATTAGCTACATGCCTCTCAAGTTAGCAAGCCAACGTTAAGATAACCTAGCACAGACTATTGTCTTGTAAAACTTTATCCAGAACAATAAATCTAACGTAGACGTGAAATATATCAAGTGTTAAAAACTTGATGTTTGTCCAAAATCATTAATTCTCTGAAAAGAACGCTGCTGCGGTCAAAACTAATTACACCTTTACCGTACGTGACTGACTGTTTAAACAATGAACAGAGAAGGCGTTTCTTTGTTTAATTTATATTTATGTAACACACTTGATAACTTTATGGTGAACAATGGAAGACTGTTTCAAGACTTCAAGTGTTCAAACAGGTTTAAAAGTAGCCGTTTTCTTAGATTCTTGGAGGTGGACGAAGTTAAAACATTTCCAGCCATTACATCGGTTACTGGAAGTAGCCGTCCCCTCCCAATATCGGCGACAGCCCAAATGTCCATACTGGTCGGGCTCTAATCTTTGCACCAAGTCGAGGAGAAGCTAAAGCAGCACCATGACAGTTTTCTGTACTTTGACCAAATAAAGATCAATTCATTTACAATTAAATTAGGAAACTAACTTTGTAAAGACTCGGCAAGAAAAGACCGCGTGTCGATAACTCCAACAAATTTTCTCTCGGTTTAATAAAAAACAACAAGCCATAAAATCAGATGTAGACGTACACTTGGTGCAGCCGTCACCAGCTACATCTTTCCAACTCCACATAATTAACGAAGCTCCTCCTTGGCTGCTGTTCAAGCTCTTGTTCTCATTTCTCAGCCTCACACCTCCAAAAGGCCTACTTTCACACAAACCTATCAAGGGCCTCGATTACCAACCAAACGGGGACAGAAAGTCGGGCGGCAGTGAGAGAGCCGTTGCCATTTCATGATGGGTAAACACTTGAGAGAAGAGGAACGTGCCGGTGCAGAGACACCCAGGACACTGCCGGGATCTGACCGTTACTGAAAACACACACGGGGAGGACCTTACCCAGATATCTGCCTTAGTGGTGATGGCTTTTCCTGCGTACAAGTTAATCATCTCTGGCGCCCGGTATGAAAGGGTCGTGTACCTGTGAGGGAACACGGGAGGAACAGTCGATGTTCAAGTGACTGAGCATCAAGGATAGGCACGTTTTACTCATTAATATCTAGATTATCATAAGATGAATCAAAAAATGCTAATAATTTTCCAACAATTTTGATTAAATTCACCTCCTAGTTGAACTCTGGGTAAGTTCAGGGAAACACCAGAGATGTAAATATTACCTTCCAGTGTGTTCGCGTTTGTGCAGAAAGAAGAAAAACAACTCACTTTTTGAAAAACACTTACTTCTTTATCTCGTCCTCCACTGCAGTCACGCCATCTTTGAGCGGGAGCAAAACTTTGTGAGTGGCGCTGCCAAAGTCACACAGCACGTACTGTCCCTGATCGTTCAGGAGGATGTTTTCAACCTGGTCACAAAGAAATTAAAAAGATGGAGAGTTAGAAAAGGGTAAAAACAACTAAAGACTCGAAAGCTGCTTTCCAGGAGCAGAGAGGTCCGAAATTATCCAAGAGCTGCAAAAGTGTTCAACGTTTCCAGCGCAACTTGCGCAACACAATTAAAAAAGTTTACAGACAAACATGAACAATTACAGGTGCATTGATGTAAAATCAAAACATAAATGTTTAACAGTTAACAGTTAAATTTTACTTTTAATTGCATGAAAGCAAAGGTGGAGCCATAAGAATTTTACACGTGTGTGTCTGTTAGCAAAATATCTAATGAACCACAGGATGGATTTTAATAAAACCGAGAAAGCAATCATCGGACGCACATCTACAGCTGGTTCGCTTTTAAAGACAACTTGATCCAAGATGGCCGCCACCGTAAAGCATGCAAGCATGGACCGACCCGGTTTCACAAACCTCGACGTGACATTTGGTGCAGAAGCCGAGACTGATCCCGACGTTTAGTCTGAGCTCGAGCTGATTGCATGAGATCATTTGTCAGAAACTGAGTCGACCACGTTTGTCTGTTAGCAAAATATCCCACAACTCACAGGCTGTGTTTTAATGAAACTACTGAGCGCAACCATTTGATGTAAATTTAAGCTGGGCGACGTTTGGACTCGGAACACTTCAAGATGGCTGCCAAAGCCAACTGAACTTAGAAAGCACAAAAACGGCTATATCTCACAAAGTTTACTGATCCTGAGCTAAAGTCTGGCGTCAGTGGCCGAATGGTTCACGGCAGAATCGCACACGATACCCCATAAGGTCACGCGTAACATTTTCAAGGTTTAACCAAAATGGCTAAAACTCTTGTCATTTCAAAAACAAGATCATTTTAGTTACAAACAACAACCTTTAGATAAAACTTTACAAACGCATCAAACCAAACACTTGTTTGCTTCATTTAAACTTTGTAACTTCACATCAGTTGGCGTTTAGGGCTTCGACTTTAAAAGTGCAGAAGTCTGCGTTAAAGCTTAAAATTAAACGTGTAGTTTTAAATCTGATGGAAAACAGGAGGGAAAAAGTCCGAGACGTACAAAAATAAGAGAAACCAACTCATTGATTGTTAATGAGAAATTTAAAAAAAAATGCCCGAGACGCATTTGATATGAATGTGGTGCAGATAGAAAATAAATAAAAACAGGAACTCCCAGTCTAATGCGAGTGTTTCGGTCTGTCGACAGCTCGGGGTTAAGGGGCTTTTATTCTCCACTCTCACTTCCCCTGGCGAAGAGCGACTGGGCCTCCGCGGTCTTTTGTGTCCCTGAAATGTTGCGTAAGCTGTGTGGGCCGGACACACGGACGGCAAACAGAGGACAGGCCTGTGGAGCTGAAGGAAGCGCTCCGTTTAGACGCTTGTCCAACTGGACCGAGCACAGCGACCCACTGGTGGGGAGAGTTCAACCAGGCTGGGAAACCATCATCAGCAGAGTGAGAAGCCTGGCGCTCCGACGACCTCCCATCATAAAAACAAAGTCTGCGCCACCTGTAAGTTCAACTACACGGCTCTGGGTGGAGGAGAAGAGAATAAATTAAGTCAAACAGAGAGGTTAAATAAATAAAAAACACTCTTCTGCAGATTTAAAGATTTAAGTTGACGCTCGTCCTCTGATCCAGTTACAAATTTACATTTATGATTCGCACCTCGTACCGTTTGTGATCTGCGTTAAGCAGCCAGGGTGGAGTTAGAGTCATTATTGTGTCACATTGCAGGAAATCACGACTAAATGAGGCACGAACAAATTATTATCCACTCAACTGACGAGTGCTGGACAGAAAGTCACTTCACAGCTAAAGTACAAAATAAATAACTCAAACTCTGCTCTGTGGTGATGAGCGCCGGATACTTTTCTCTGATGAATAAAAATATTTGGGCTGCTCATCTGAACACTTCACCTCACTTTCCTTCAGGCATTTTATAAACTCAAAATCTTCAACATTAATTGTTTGAGCAGTTTAAACTAAAAATTCAAAATCGCTTTAAAACGTCATGAATCAGAAGAATGTGGGAGAAACGAGACGATTATTTAAATAGTTTTAAAACGGCTCAACAGACTGGCCTCTCTCTGGATGTCTCAGGACCTGAACGAACCTTTGAACCGCTCATTAAAGGTGTGCGACCTTTGAACTCCGGGGGTCAGCTCATCTTTACAAAAGGCCAAAACGAAAAAACCCTAATAAGATTTTCTCGTAAAATAAAACATTTGCCACATTTTTCATGTCTTATGTCAGAATAGTGATACAGAAATATAAAATTATCAAAATATATATTACAAAAAGTTTAATGGATTGAATCGTTTGAAAAAAGGTTTTACGTCTTCCTTACATTTTTACCGATTTCTTACGGAAACGTTTAAATGCCAAAAGAGAGAATATTTCAACAGCTACAACACATTTTATGTGTAATATGATAAAATGAATTCAGAGCTTCTGTAGCCGTGTTGCGCTAAACTCTGCACATTTTAAAATCAATTTTAAGATAAAAAAAAAATAATACTCCGATGAACATGGAGAGAATTAAACACTTTGAAAAGTTTGGAGTGATTTTGTCACGTCCTCGCCTCAAAGTTTGATTTTTCCTCTCAGCTCAAATGAATAAACGAGATTTTAACTCATCTCTGTCTCAACGGCGACAAACCACAACGTGAACTCAGCATCAGGTCTGTTCTGTTTTAAATAAATGTGCGACAGACTCTTCCTCTCAGCACGTAGCTGCAGGAGGGCAGTAAGGGAGGCTACACTCGCATGGTCCTAGTGCCTGACGTGTTTGTTTTGACAAGCTAAAGTGGCGAGAGATCTTCAGTGATCATTTTATCAGACAACGTGATAAGGGCTTCATTAATCTGACGACATCTCGTTACAAAACATAACCCAGACACATTTAAGCAAAACTGTGAAGTGAATATTAAGCTGTAATATTCTTTACTAACTCCTATACCTGAACTTTGGCTCCTTCCCTTAGCATTTTAAAATTCAGCCAGCTGCTGCTTGAATACTTCTAAATCATTTCACTCAAACAAAACGATTCAAAGAGAAAGACCTTTCCACCAGAGACCATGATAAACTGTTAAGATGTAATAAATTATTGCCCCTCACTTTCAGGTCTCTGTGGATGATGGGCGTCTTGCACTGATGCAGGCGAGCCACGGCCTCGCAGGTGTCGCAGAAGATGTGGAGGACCTCGGCCTCGCTGAAGCCCACGTTCAGCCGCTGGTTCATCTGCTTCACCACCTGACCCGCTGCAAGAAGAAGAAAAGACTTCAACACGAGCTGAGCAACCAGTTCCAGCCCTAATCAGAGAAACGTTTGCACGTCAACTTATCTAATGAGGACCAAACTGCTTGAAAAAAAAAAAAAAAGCATGAAATGGTCAAGATCAACAGAGGCAGCATAAAGTATTAATGGAGTATGCTAAATTTAAAATGGCTACAACGCTGCTCTCAGTTAAGGCTGGGGGGACTTGTGTTACTGACCATGTTTAAAGCAGGTAACGGAAAACTGACAAAAACGGGAAAACAATGGGACAACATTTAAACAATGAGCACAAGATCAAGCCAGGAGATTCATGTAGCGCAACTTCTGCATGACGTTCGTTAAAAGACAAACATCACGAGACGGGAAAGAAAACTTAACGCTGCAATCTTGTGGTCGTTTGTTCCAAAGAAAGGGGAACTGCAAATCAAATAAAAACTGGAAGTGAAGCAAAACCTAAAAAAATATATATATATTTTTTTAATTAAACCAGGGACTCGATTGCAGACTTTAAGACCAACATCAGAAGTTTTTATTTATACCGACAACATTTCCATAGTGAGCATTTTAAGGTGGTGGCTGCCGAGTCTTTTATTCAAACCAACTTAATCCATTTGAGTTATGAATGCGTTTTGCTGAAAACGCTGAACATCAGTAACACAGGATTCATATGAAGGTTATGCAACTAGATCACAAATATGACGAATCGCTCGTCACGGGATTAGAAGTGAAACACGTGAACATCACCAGAATTAAGAAAACTGTTGGCCTCATCAGGAAACTGCGCCACCTACCACACAGAAGAAGTTGACTTTGGAAATGAAAATAGACCAGAAATCAGGTTGTTTTTTAATGTGCACAAACCTGAACGACAAATCAAAAGCATGAAGGCAATTAAATCCCTGATTCCTGGTTGAACTTAAAATCAGGATCTGTCAGCAAAATAAGGAGCAGCAGTTAAAATTATATTTTAAATTGCTAAAAAAAAAAAAAAAACTATCGGTGTTTATCGTCGCAATTCTGATCCAGGACGCCAGTTCTTTTTATGAACGCTCTTTTCCATAAATTAGTTCAGGTTGGTGTTTTGAAGCCTCTCATGCGGCTTGTGATCTTTACCAGGAGTCTAGAGACACTTGTTAGGTGTTTGAAACCACGTCAGCAGGTACCTTTACAGTTCTCCATGAGAATCAGGACCTCCCAAACGCTGTCTGAAACCGAATTGATCGTGGAGTCCAGGTAGTGGACGACGTTCTTGTGGCCCGACAGCTCTTTCTGCAAACGGGGTGACATCACAGGAGTGGAGAGGACAGAAAAAAATACATGTATTAAACAGAAAAATGAAAGACTTGACAACAAAATGCAATAATTTAAAAACTGATGTAATAAATGGATGTTGAGCTGTGCACAAGATTTAAAAGGCTGCTGACATTTTCCTCAACAAAAACAATAAATCTCACACTGACACAAATGCAGAGCAGATTAAAGAGGAAATACAAGTTTAACCAGTCAGACGAGTCGCAGACGAGCCGACACCACTGAACTGATGCAACTTTAAGGTTTTAAATAACAAAGTTTATTTTTAAACAAACAAAATACCCTCGTAACCTGTTAGTCAATTATAATAACTATAAAACATTTAAAATAATCTATAAGGAGAATAAAAAGTAAAAAACAGTATGTCCCGTCTCATCATTGCAGGCGATTGTGCAACAATATTTTCTATAATCTTGTGTGTCGCACCCTCTGATCCCGTGATTTGTGAATGATTCGCTGCATCTGTCGGTTGTTAAAGGCCAGCATGAGCGGGGAAGCTGCTGAGTGTTGTGGAAACCAGCACACCTAAGGCAATGTCCCAGCAGGCCACGAGTGTGTCAGCTGTGTGCGCATGTGTTGTTCGCATTATTCCAGATGATGGGGGGGGGGGAACATGCTGCGATGAAAACGCTCGTAACGAAACGTGCGCAGGCGTCGTTTGCATCTGATCAGCCTCAGAATCACCAAGGAACTTTTCAACGACACAGAACACATTTCAACAAAGATCACGCGAGTGCCGCCGAGCGTGAAAAAACACAGCAACAGTAAATGGACCGGGTGAGTTAACGCGGTGTCTCTCAGACAAAAGTACCGACCCAACTGGAAAAGCTAGAAGGAAGGAATGGAAGGAAGTCGTTTCTGCTCGCCAGGTGACGCAACGTGTCTGTGAGTCAGAGCGGTTTGAGTCCACTAAACAGGAGCTGCGAAAGTTCAACACCAACAAACTGACGAGGCCTCCAGGAAACGTTCAAACCATGAAGCAGTGGATTTAGGTGAAAATTAAGATTCTTTTTCAAAGAAAATTGGAGTCGATGTCAGAAAAAACCTAAAACAGAACTACAGTAAATATATATATATATCCGACAGATGAGAAGAAATGAAACTTAATCACATTTAATTCATTTGGTGCAGTTAAAATCAGAGGAAATAGAACATCAGCTGAGATTGTCCACTTTAATAATACTATAAAACTAGAACGTTCCTGGAGAAACTTTGACGAGGAGGACTGCCACGTTTAAATTTAACATTTTTCAGTCAGGTCATCTGGACAGTTTCTTTTTTTTTATTTTTATGACTTGACTGAAAAATGTTGGATTGTAAACCTGGATTATCGAGCATGAACTTTGTTGTCACGTTTACATTTAGATTTGACAGTATTGTGTAGGGGTTCGCCCTCGACTATGAGCACACCAAATTTCACATTAAAATGGCAAAATATCAACGAGTTTGTCATTTTATCCTTTTAAGCTACGGTGACCATCTTTTTGATTTGGATTCAATGTGACGGGGAGCGTCCTCAGCGATGAGTTGAAGCCATTTAAATTGAGCTTCGGTGGCCATCTTGATTTGTTTTTATTAATTATTTACTGGGCATTGGTCGCAGCTACCACCACACCAAACTTCAGATTAATATCTCTAAAAATGGATGATTTACAGTATTTTTCCTTCTTAGCTCAGGTCTTGGAATATAGATTTGCAACCAGAGTCTATGAAAAATTACAAATAAAAATGGCATCTTTGTTTGCACATTATGTTGCCATGGTAACTTGAAACGCTAACAAAAGTACTTTATTTTCCGCCATACAAGTCACACCAGTCCAAAAATGTCTAATGAAGTGGATAAATCCATAACTATGTTGTTTTGCCGTATAAGTCACATCTATTATGCGTCACCGATGACAGTCTGGAAATGTCGGCCGGTGTTGTGGCAAAAATCGATTAACTGCCAAATGGCGTGCACGGGAGGACTTTAACAAGAATCTAACAAGATTAGCACTTAAAAACAATTATTTGTTTGCTCTACATTGTAGCAAAGGTGTGTCTCAGTTGAACTTTTAATAAATGCACTTCAATGGTGAAGTTAGCTGCATTTCTCCGAGGCAACGCAGCGAAATGAAGCTGATTTGACGGTTTTTCCAGGCATGATCTCAGAGCTGGAACGGTGGTAGGTTATGGCAAGCCGACTGGCATTAATAGCCACTATTACATGACGCAGCGGCATGCCATACTACTTGAGTGCCATCTAGCGGCTGAAAATGGTAGTGTTCAATATTTTCAGTCAGAATGAATGAAAACGGTCACATCTCTTCCAAAAACTGGTTTATAAATATGGGGGGGGGACATAAGTCACTTTGGTGTATAAGTCGCAGGGCGTGCCAATTATGCAAAAAAACTGGAACTTATAGGCCAAAAAATACAGTAATAGCACACATCACGGTGCTGAGCCTGTTGTTTTGATGAACATTTGTGGAGGTACATGATGTCGTTCGGGCCGCATTTAAGTTGACGGAAGAATAAAACATAAAGTTAAGAAAATCTTTGTTAGGTGGATAATAGGTGGCTGCCTTACTAGGCAGTCCCCAATAAAATAAATAAATAAAGTGTTGCATGTCGCCATATAGGCTGCTGTGATTTCTAGAGATTAGCATCAGTAAAAGAAAAGCTCAATTCCCTCAAGAGGAGAATAGTTGAGCTGAATTAATAAATTAAACGTCTCACCATGATGGTGATCTCTCGCTTGTAGACGTTCAAGTCCGGTACGTTGTTGACGTACATCCGTTTGAGAGCGCAGCGGACGCCGCTGTGCGTTCGAGCCAAGAACACCACCGAGAAACCTCCTGGGAAAAATAAAATAAATACAAATGAGTTTTCAGTTATTTTAATGCACAAACACGGAGAACTTTTTTCAAGTTATCTAACAAGGTTGAGTCAGGTCTTCTGGACGCGATCTTCTTCGTCAAAACGTTTCGTCTTTTATCCAAAAGACTTCTTCCGCTATTATGAGAAGGTGATATTTATAAGACTGAGTTTGTTGCAGCTCCTGACTGAAGAAGTCTTTTGGATAAAAGACGAAACGTTTCAACAAAACAAACCGTCCAGAGGACCGGACTTCACTTTGTTAGATTGTCCAGCTGTTTTCTTTTAGTAAACTAGTGGAATTGACCAAGTTTATCTAAAACGACAGTTGACGGTCCTCTCCGTCGTCGTGTGGGTCAGAAACCAAAACGCTTAGCAGCGCTGACCAAACCAGTGGTTCTTAAAGTTGGGATCAGGATCCCACAGTGGGTCATGAAAAACCAGGTTTGGGATTCTGAGATCTCTCAAGATAAAATATTCCTGCACATTTTCACGATAACCATTACAAAATTATAAAGGTCATAAAGTGCAAAATTAGTGTAAATTACTTCCGATATCATTAAGGCTTATTTACTTCATTAGTGATTTTTGTGTCGTTCATACAAGGTATTATTATTTTAGGGGTCAGAAGCTAAAAGGTTTGGTAACTCCTGATCTGAATTTTCCATAATCGTCCAGACTAAAATTAAATTTAGTCTCAACATAAAAATTCTATTGGCATCTCATAGATGTTAAATGGATGTTTCCATGCGGCACAGATTGGAGAGAAAAATCAGGATGAACTTGAGTTAATTTAACACTTACTGAGTTCTGAACAGCCTTCTGGTGTAAGTTTTAGCGCCGGCTCGTGAGCTGTGAGCGAGCGCTTGGCTAACACACTGCTGTCGTCAACCTTATGAGCTGCAGCTGATTTCTAGTAGCTTGCAGACCAGATGGGGTGAGCTCAGACCAGATATGGCCTAGAGGTTGCCAGCTGACCATCACCTGCCAACCGAGCTCTGACCGCTCTCGTCAAAGGAACGACTGAGTCACTGACGGTGGGCATCGAAGTCCATCAACCAGAGACGAAGAGGAAAAAAAGATTCACGAAACTTATTTTGAAAATGTTTCCTTTGAGGGAAGTGCTCAAAAAACTTGGGTACGAAAGGGTCTTTAAAGTCGACTCAGTTTGCCCCGCAGTAAAAACGGGTCGTCGGGCCTGACAGTCGAGCAACTCCAACAGAAACGGAGTGTTTGCCTGTAGTCACAGCAGTGAGTGTTACAGTAACACCATTATCAGACCAGAACGAGTAGCTGGTGTTCTTCTGCAGCACAGAACAGGCAGATAAGGAGACGACGATCTACGCTGCTCTGACAGAAATAAAATAAATAAAAACACGGGAGGCGCAGAACGTCTGTATGAGAAACCAGGACCTGACGTCAAAGCCAGAGGACATCTTGAGTGAGCAGACTTATCACGTGTTGGAACGGAAGTCACGCAAGTGTCAAAGAAAAGCTGCGAGACAGAAAACTGCTGAGGAGGCAGCATCAGAGGGTTGGTGAAAAAAATACATATGATCGTTTAACCCTTTCATTACGAGCGTGTCACCGACAACACTTTTGTTTTACAAGGCTTGGGCGGGAAAATGTTAATAAAAAAACACGTTTAGAAAAACTCTGAACAAAACAACTCAACTGGACTAAATTACAAATAGTTTCTGCACGAGACGATCAGAGGATAAAGAACCGGAACCTCTGCTGCACAGCTCGATGGTCGGTCCAAACTTCTGCGAAGAGATTTAATTGACTTTCTGTAACAGAATGAAGCCGACTCTAGACGAAGGTAAAGACGCTTCTACAAAGACGCAGCGTCTCTAGAAACCGGCGCGACGTCACCTGTCAATCAGTCCGGTAGGCTCGTCAGCAACTGATCGATGAGCGATCTCAGCTTGTCCTGAAGTGAAACGCCCCGAACCTGCAGGAGCTGCGCCCACTTTCCAACAACTCTGTTGGGATTTTGCATTCTGAACGCTTTGCGGTCAGAGGGATTTTATGAAAAATCATGAAATGTAAAAGTAGAGTGGTAGCTAAAGTAGATTGCAAATATAAAAATAAAAATAAAAAACAGAAAACAGTGCGACTGCTGACTCAGCATTCACAAACACATGAAATTAACAAAAATAATCGATTGGCCTTGACTAAGGTGCTCCACCCTCAAACTGCTTATTAATTTGAGTGCAAGACAACAAACAAACAAAACAAATATGTGTTTCAGATAGGTGTAAAGTAAACAATCCTGAATAACGTACAAAAAACTGATTCCATACGATGTTAACAATTTCCATTTTGACGTCTGACAAATCTCACGTAGTGTTTCTTTAAAATAAAGAAAGCCAACAGAAGTTGGACCAAACCGAGTCCAGCTCCTCCTGCAGGACTTCATGTCTGACTGGGACCGTATGCTGCAGGATCAGTTTCTCACTGAACCTCCAGCATGGGGCTACCGTTGCGTCCCCAACCCCCACGACCATGCGAGCCACGGAAGTGGTGCGCCACTGAGCGCATTATTCTCCTGAGTGGATCTGGGTGGAATGATTTGTTGTTGAGGGGCTTTGTGCCCAGAATACAAACTTCCTGGACAAATGAGAAGAGTCCTGGACATCACAAAAGCTCTCCTCTGTACAGGACGCTGGCTTTTCAGAAAACTAACTGGCTCTACTTCTTTTTATGCTGTTGGTTGGTTCGCTTACGAGATCCAATAAAGATGGGCTCATAAAGTCAGCTGGATTTCAATGCCTGTCCATCGTTTGTTTAACCAAGTCGGAAAAAAACAAAACTAGTCTAATCGTCTTCATTTTTTTTAACTAAGAGCCTAATTTTTAATGGGATAATTTGGTCAGGGTGGCATAAGGTAAAGATAAACTATAAGGAAAATGAACATTATTTCCCTCTTAACATGTTTTATCAAATTCAATTAAAATTCAAAAATACTTTATTAATCCCAAAGGGAAGTTAATTGTTGTTGTAGCTCATCCAGGTTTCATTAGAGTTGTGATAGATGCTGATGGCTGTGGGCAGGAAGGATTTCTTGTAGCAGTCTGTCTTACAGCAGATCCAAAGAAACTGGTTGCCCAAGCCGATCCCTCCACCCAGACCCAGCAGACCTCTCGGTCCTCTTGGGCAGCAGGACCACCTGAATGCCGGGCAGAACTCCTCTGTCCTCCCGCTGTCACGAACCACGTTTCCCGCCACCTCCAAGATCTCGGTGGGCAGGCACTTGAGCACCGCCTCTAAGTAGTTGGGAATGCATCCACGGCACCTCCTTTTCAACTCATTTGGGATTTGGGGCTGTAGTTGAGGTGTTATTTGAGCTTTTGAAGCGTCAAATGTCAAATCACCACCGGAACTCGACTTTTGTCATTTCTGTAAAATAACGCTATTGAATGTTAAACCAGGTTTGATTTATAAAGCATAAGTTATCTGTGCTGGAAGCGGAGCTAATAAAATACGTCTCAGCTGAACTAAAGCAAGTTTACCATTTTAACTCGTGCTTGATCAATCAGACGATCTACAGGGCACTTTTCATACTTCTTAGATAAAGCAGAGGGCTTTAAAGTGAATAAACACGCAAACAAAACAACTACAAACAAAATAAGTATAAAAAAAAACAGATGAAAAAGAAAGACAATGACAATTTTGACATAAAAACTGGGGGAAACGATGGTTAAATGAAGCAACAGCAGGTAAAACAAGACGCATGCTTTCCAGTTTCTCATCGTTTGGGGGCTAGCATGACCGATGGAAGCTCAAGTTACATTCACTTGTAAAAAAACAGCCAGGTTAAGTGCAACTAAATCTTTCAGACTAATGCAGGACTTATAGGCGTGTCAAACTCCCAGACTCGGCGGCCAATAGGCACATCTCTCCGTTATTATACCTCCCCTCCTGCTCGTCTTTTAACTGCCTGCTTTGTGGACGAGAGACAGAAGTAGATCAGCACGAGAACACGGTCAGCTGTCAGGAACAGTTGAGAGGAAAACCCCAAAGCTATCGGGTCAAGAGAGGAGGGCAGGGTGCTGATCCAGGCCTACTTCAAACACTTTGGATCCAACATCACTGCATGACAAATTAGGAGTTAACCCACAGGACAGCCTTTATGAAGCAGATGGTGTGTCTTGTGATAAGAGTGCCCTCTTTTGTAAAACAAACTTCTAAGGTAACATAGAAGTGCCTTAGTGAAATGTTTCTGCTCAGACACAAAATGCAGATATTCTTCCTCTTAATCACATCTTTAAACCATCTGGTCGTTTCCATTTCCAACTGGTCCTCGTTAACCTCCTGCCATTGTGTCTAAAGACCGTATTTCAATTCAAGCTGGTTTCTTCAGCTGTGAACCAACTTTTAGGAGATAAGAGTGACGTTTTGAGGAAGAACATTTGAAGCAGGCTGAGGTATTTCCTCCTAGAGGCCCCATCCTTCAACATGAAGACACACTTCCTCCACACGTAACGAGTAACTAAACATCACAAACAGGATGCAATGGTTTTCTTAGCTCGTCATTAAAACTGATCTCAATTCTGTTTTCTCTTTAAATTAACAATAAAACTCGTCTGTTTATAATAAAAACTGAAAAAAGGTAATAAGGGAGGAACTGTGCTTTGCAGAGCTGGTCACGGTTCTCGGTGCCTGTTCAACCCTGAAATCTCACTTTGACCTCTTTTCATGACTTTCCTAAAACTGTGATTTGATAAGAATTGTAATTGTAGGAGAAAGAAAAAAAAAACCTTTTACAAAATAAAGCTGTACAAATCTGTCCACTAAAGTTATGTGAACTGTGCAGGAATACACACAAGTCATAAAAAGCAAACTTTTCCCATGAAAAAACTTGATTTAAATTAGAAAGCTGGAAAAAAAACTTAAATCTGCTGATGTTATTACAACCAAAACATAAATTTAATGATTATTTAGGCAGCTTGATTTGTTTTTTTCCTACCTTAAATTA